GGCTATTGGGTCTCCCTGCCTGCAGCCTCTTTTAATGTTAAAGGACTCTGAGAGATTGCCTCCTTGATTTATTGCTGCTTGTGCACCCGTGTTAAAAGTATTTATCCATTTGATAATACTTTCACCAAAGTTAAAAAAAAAAAAAAAAAAACTAGTACCCTGTCGATAAATTTCCACGACACAGCGTCAAAGGCCTTTTCGAAATCTAATAGCACTAACATTCCAGGGATATCGTTATCTTCTGTGTATTGCATAATATCGTATACAGTACGGATACTTTCCCCGATGTATCTCCCGGATATAAAACCGCATTGATCGTCTGAAATAAGTTTGCCCAGGTATTTCTTGACTCTGGATGCTATGACTCCGGAGGCTATTTTATAGGTAACGTTTAACAAAGAGATCGGTCTCCAGTTTTTCAAGTATTGCTTGGGCTTTTCACCCTTAGGGAGACACGTAATTACACTTTGTCGCTGTGTAATTGAAAGTTGGCCAGTCGAGTAACCCCAGTTTATGGATCTAACTACAAAATTGCCGAGCTGTGACCAGAATACCTTGAAGAACTCGACAGTGAACCCATTCGAGCCTGGACTCTTATTATTTTTCATTTTTTTCAGAATTTGGGAGGCTTCATTTAGACTAATTATACCCTCTAGTTCACTTGACTCAACATCTGTGAGCCTCAATGGATAATTGTGCGGTAAAATCGTGCTTAAGTCAACATCAATCACATCATTAGACTCTGCAAATAACTGTTCGTAGTAGCATTTAATTTCCTTTAAAATTAATGTTTGGGTAGTAATTTCTTCTCCGTTATCTTAAACTATCTTGGGTATTATTTTTGAAGTGAAATTTCGGTTTTCTAGGTTTAAAAAATATTCAGTGGGTTTTTCACCCTCTTCCAGCCACTTTGTCCTGGATCTTATCATACTACCCCTTATTTTATTTTCCCTGATGTATTTTAGTTCCTCTTGTAATCTCTCTATATTATTTGCCTTTAGATTGTAATTTTTCTCCAAATTACTTATTTCTGTTATCAATTTTTTTTCTCTGTCGTCAACTATTTTATTCTTATAAGATGAAACGGAAATGGTTTTGCCCCTGATCTCCATAAGTAGGGTCTCAAGAAAAAGTTGATCATTTACGGTAAACTGTATGTCAGAGTCCGGAATTGAGCAGATATTATTTAGGTTATAGACAGGAAGTGCATACTGGATTTTTATATTATTAATAAGTTGTTTTATATTGTCTATATATTCTAAATCATCAAGCAGAGAATTATTGAATTTCCATAACCCTTTCCCTTTCCTAAATGCAGTGTATGAAATGGCCGCCTGCCCGCCAGCCCGAGGCTGGTAACTTTCAGGCCGGGCGGGTAAGATTTGCAGATTACCCGCCCGACGGGCTGGCTGTTTTTACAGCCTATTTTCACCTTTTATTTTGTCTATGTTCACAAGCGATTTCAGCAAAATATCAAATAAACTCACGGTTTTCACCCACTTTCATAGAAGCAAAGAACTAACCATAATTGCAATCGAACGCTCGTATCGAAATGTAACCAACAGTCTCCCTCTCAGTGGCCTCGTTTTCGAAGTTCTGTCTGTGTGATATGAAGTTGAAAGACAATTTGAAACGAGGCACAATGTTCTTAACCAGCTTCAGTGCACAGCAGATAACGTTATGTCATTGTTTTGTGTAGAGGAGATACCGCGAGTAGCAATTTGTAGGTTGAGAGTAATAAAAATGTGAAAGTATAAAAAGTTATGATATTGATTAAATCGACTTATAGGTACATGAAGTGCTTATAATCAACAGTGATAAAGGCAATGGAGCCAAAAAAAAAGGAGAATTTTACAAAAAATTTGAATCCCAAAATTATGAGTGAACGTATGAGTTTACGCCGTGCGTCAGATGTAGTTTTTTTCCCACGTGCTTTCATCTTGGGCTGTCAAAAATGAAAAAATTCTATCAAGTCCGATAGAGAAGTTCACAAAAGAAAAACAATTGAGGAAAGAAATAAAACTAACAAAGATTACGACAGCACCAAACGAAAGAGAACAAATTGGGACCAATGGAAAGGTGACTTCGATTTGCAATTAGTCGAGCGGCAACATTTTTTTTCGTAAAACCGTAACTCGAAAGTATCACGCACTGCGACCGAGCGCAAGCATCTCGATCCAATAACTCGTCCATACTCGCCCCATATAAAAATAATATTGTAGCCTCTATGTGATATATATAGCTATTCTCAATAAGCAATGCTTTTGNCCCTAACCCCTAACCCTAACCCTAACCCTAGCATGAGGTGTTTAATATTCAAAAGTTAAATTGAATAATATTTAGAATGGTATATTATTGAAGTTTACCCAGGAATGCTATATTTGATTACTTTTTTTTTTTTTTTGTCTAATACAAGTACGTGCTAAAACTATGAAACGGCTCAAAAACGTTCAAACAGACAAACATTTTGATTGGTTGCCTTCACCTGTACTTGAACTTGGTTTCACCAGAAAATCACCCCCCCCCCCTCTTTTACTAGTGATTCGATATTAAAAATGAACACCATAAAACTGAATGAGTTATTCTGAGCCATTTATTTCTGCAAAATGTGATGTAATAAGTCACGTGGTCTAGGTAAAAGGTCATTGGCGTGAGGCGGAGACTATGTACGTATGCGACGTGACATGCGAGGAATGGACCTATTAATTCTGTAAATAAACATTTCAAATTTTATACATCTCCGTTGTTGCAATACTATATCTGGTGACGAGGAAGGAACAGACTCACAAGGAAGTCAAACCAAGTAAGAACATATACCTTTCAAAAACAGACATTGGCTATAACGAAATTAAATGAGTGCAGTACACGCAAAGAGGAGTGGATATAAATGAATTTTATAGAGAGCTTCAAGATATTGGTAAACTGTGTAATTTTTATGACTTGGAATCAGAGGTGAAATCACAACTGATAATGGGATGTAAATCTCAGAAAGTCCGACAGAAAGGCTTACGTAACCCGTCCATGACATTTATGCAATTTTGCAGTAGGCGCACACTGAGCAACTTGTCACTTCACATACACGCCGAATGGATGGACCGGCGGTTCACAGGGTGCAAGTCAGGAATTCGACAAGTAGTCATGCATTTTATTTTTAACAACAATGCCGTAATTATGGAGGAGAATGGCCACATGAGGGTGGACGGTCGAAATGACCGCCCTTCAACAAGGAGTGTTTCTCTTGTAAACGGCTTCATCATTTCGCATCGATGTGCAGATAGGGTCAGCAACTAACATCATCAGCTACACATAACAAGCGCTACGCCGTGAAAAACCTAAACCTGTACCTCATCGCCGTCAAAACAATGTGAATTGTCAACATGGAAATTCCGATGTGACTGAAAATGAGAACGAATGCATAGGTTATGATGAAGATGGATACGTCTTAACAGCGCATACAGTCACCGAGAACATGGACCAACTCCAACGTTTTGAAATAGGGATGAACGGTAGGAAAATATGTTTTCTAGCAGATTCAGGGTCTACTGTTAATTTGAGTACAATAAATCGCAACCAAGACTAACGTTACACATTTTTATTACTTAAATCAAGGCCTACGGCAGTGAAAACAATTCAGTTCGTGTGTTGGGAAAATTCACATGGGCCTGTGGACATTTTCACATTTATTTATTCGGAGCTCATTTTATTGTGCACACTGACCACAAACCCCTCGTAAGCCTCTTTAACAACCCTATTTAGGCCCAGCTTTCGGCGCGTATCGAGCGTTGGATCATGAAAACACAATCCTACCAGATGACGGTTGTGTATCGTCCAGGGCACATGACAACCCTGCTGATTACTTGAGCCGACACTCCACCCATCAGACTGATCAGTTATCAGTGGCGGATTTAGAGGGGGGTTAGGTCCTGACCCCCTAACCCCTTTCGATTTCTGAAAAAGAATTCAGGTTCAGGGTCGGCTTTGCATCTGCGGTCCCCCCCTTCAAATAATCCTGGATCCGCCCCTGAGTTATCATCAAGTACAGAGAAAACAATAGCAGAAGAGTATCTTCATTATCTGTACTTCATTATCTAGCCTCTACTTCATTATCTAGCCTCTACTTAATTATCTAGCCTGTACTTCATTATCTAGCCTCTACTTCACTAACTAGCCTGTACTTCATTATCTAGCCTGTACTTCATTATCTAGCCTCTACTTCACTAACTAGCCTCTACTTCATTATCTAGCCTCTACTTCATTATCTAGCCTGTACTTCATTATCTAGCCTGTACTTCATTATCTAGCTTGTACTTCACTAACTAGCCTCTACTTCATTATCTAGCCTCTACTTCATTATCTAGCCTGTACTTCATTATCTAGCCTCTACTTCATTATCTAGCCTCTACTTCACTAACTTACTAGCCTGTCACTTGAACACGTAATAGCTATTTTACTTTTTTGATTATCATTTAATTTGGTTGCTCATTTTTATTATTTATTTATTTATTTATTTATTTATTTATTTATTTATTTATTATTATTATTTGCGTTCTTTCACAAGAAATTACAACACATTTCCAAAACACAAATGAAATAGACAGTTTACGCGGTTTTCCCTGACGTGCCTGTGACGTCATCAGTATCAACCTACAACGACCTCTGGCGGCAGTTGTCAGATAAGAGGACCGCATTCGCGTTTATACGGGTTTTAAGAATGAAAGGCCTACGGAACTGCACCACGTCAACTTGGTTGTACATAAATACAGCGTACACTATACTTCACATGCTGGATGCCTATTGAATGGTACATTTACTATAAGTCCACCAGCAAATATTCATCAAACCTTATCTCAAGTATATAAACACTGATCAGTTATGCTCTTTGTTTGGTGATACATGTAAGGTTCTCTCATGCGTTTTGATATAACCTTGTCCGACCAGACCTTAGGTCTTATCTTGATAAGAAGAACTTCTACGGCCACCAGTCGCTAGTCTTATCATAGTACTAACTGGAGCCAAGCCATGGTCACAATATTTCCAATTCTTTGCCTACTGTTCGTCAGCTGTGGTGCCTTGGCCCAACACGACATTGTGGCCAAGCAATCCGAGCTCTACCGCCTTCGTTTCTCTATTAATCAGTTATACTGGAAAGTTGCCGAATCTTGTCCTAACTTTAACAAAGTGTCTATAGGACGAAGAAGGGAGACAATGCCAACAGCAGAGCGTTTGGATTTGGATATCGAATTGGCCAAGGCGACATATGACCACTTGTTAAGGCAGTACCAAGAATGTCAAGCGTCTCTCACTGGTATCACCACGCCAGAAACCACCACTATTAAGGCAAGCACCACCAAGTCTACTACGACCACAACTACCACCAGCACCACTAGTACCCCTACTACTTCCCCCGTGATATTAGGTGAGACGAATTTCTTCGGGAACAAAACATTATTCTACTTACTTGTACCATTAAAAAGATCACTTTAAAACACCAAAACAATCTGTAACTATGCCCGATCATTTAAAATCTCTTCTAGATGGTCACGCGTTCACAATCCTGCGCGTGAAGCCCGTGTACCATAAGGGGTATAGCTTCCTAGCCTTGGAGGTTGTAGTTCCGAAGGATGGTCGGAGCAAGACGATCTCCTGGTGTAAAGATTACCAGAACCTGTGTGAAAGCTTCCGTCGACGACCGACCAGTTGTGCGGGAACAAATCACGTGCCATCGTAAGTACAACAAATATATATATATATATATATAATGCCGTATCTATCACTAGACTTATATCACTAGATCGTATCTATCTATCACTATATATATATATATATATATAATGCCGTATCTATCACTAGACTTATATCACTAGACCGTATCTATCTATCACTATATATATATATATATATATAATGCCGTATCTATCACTAGACTTAGTTTTGAAAATTGAAATGAAGATAAATGCAATTTATTGGACCATTAAATGAAGCAAATATTATTAAACTGGAAGTAATTTATTGTACGTGTAAATATGGTGATTTAATAAACTACGCTGCAAATATAATTCCCTTTTGTTTTATTTTTGTTCATTTAATTTTTCTAGTTTAATTGTCAATGCATATATTTCATTTTCAAGGAATCGTGTATTCGCAATAATCATGACATGGATTATCCGCATATCGATTATCTTACGTTTACGAGCCTCATTAAAAATAAATGTTTTATCAAAATGTAATTGCACATGCTTTAATCTATTCCAGGTGCCGTAAATATAATGCTGGCATCAATGTGAATGGAAACAATGGGCACATGGGATGTTCCCCTAGTCGATATGTGAATGAAATCGCACAACAAGCCTTTCCCGACGGTAGTGCTCGGAGCTACTACAACACGTTCGCTTTCCTGTACTGTACGTCTCTTCACTGTAGTAATACTATCAGTAAGGACGTGACTGCACTGTCATTGGATTCAATGAGATCGTTTTATAATGAGAAGGCACCGTCCCGCATTATGTACACGACTTGTCAGTATTAAAAATAAAAGTGTACTTGTGTCCGAGTTTATTGTCGATTACACTGGATCGAAGCTTTTGAGCAACGCCTGACCTCCAAAACACAACCCCCCTCTTGCAAAAGCTGCTTATGTGCGTGCTTTCGTTTTTAAATATTTGAATTAAGATGCAAACGGTTAAAAATGCATATGAACTTAATTTTTGTCTACCAAATGTCACCATAAAGGGAGTTAGGTCTATCCAGATGGATCGATCTAAGTATGGAAACCCAGTCATATATTAAAAAGTATAATTTAGGGAAATACCAAAAGACATATCGCTTCATATTACCCGAAAAAGGATGTTAGAACGGGTTGTCTGTTTGCTTACTGTACATGTGCTGTATATAAACGGGGCAGCTAAGTACTGGTAGGTCAAATTTACCACCCAAAATGTAAAGAAGTGTCAGTTTAAAGCTCTTTTATGGCTGATCGAGTGATTTGTTCGGTTTATCCCTTGGCATGTCAACTTTCTTTGAGTTGTATTAAAACTAATTAAGACTAATTAAAGAGAGTGTACATTCCACGTGAAACTTACTTTAAGATTTACTTTAAGCGCTGTTCACATTTTTCACAAATTGCTACCATTCCCCTATCTGTCCTCTCCGATCAAATTAATCGCCCCCCACCCATCCCCTTCCGCCCCTTCATCCCCTTCCGCCCCTTCATCCCCTTCCGTCCCTTCATCCCCTTCCGTCCTTCATCCCCTTCCGTCCCTTCATCCCCTTCCGTCCTTCATCCCCTTCCGTCCCTTCATCCCCTTCCGCCCCTTCATCCCCTTCCGTCCCTTCATCCCCTTCCGTCCCTTCATCCCTTCCGCCCCTTCATCCCCTTCCGCCCTTCATCCCCTTCCGTCCCTTCATCCCCTTCCGCCCTTCATCCCAATCGCAGTTTTACAATTCTTTCCAGTGACATGCACCTCAGATTCCCTTTGATAGAAACTCCAGTTGCCAGTGATTTGTTGTGGTACGCCCTGTCCTAGTTGTCCACTCACTTACGTCAAGCTAAGAGTTATCAGGACAAATCTTATGGAGGACGGACTCTGTATGACACGGACCCCCAGTTTCNATGTGTTTAGTGTGAAAAATGTATGTTTTGTTTTGTGATGTCAATAGTAGTATAAGAAAAACCCGGACAGTTCTTAAAAAGGATAGGGCCCTGATAGGGCCCTCTAAAAGTTTGTTTTTCGTATTTTCTTTCTTATTTATTTTATGAAAAAAAAGTTATATTGGCAAAATCAAGTGTGTATACATAAGGATAGATGGTTGTTTTAGTATTTTATTGTATTGGATGAACAAAAAAGGCCCGCATTTGTACTTATTGATCTAAAAAAGAGAGGTGGCATTGTTTGCGGTTCAGTTGATGCGGCACATAGTAAACAAACAAGGATCCGCTAACAGTCAGGTGAGACTATTGTAATGCACAAAGAGAGCAGTATGCAAGCCAAATACTTAGAGTATTGTGATAGTGTGTGGTTCGCAAACACTTAATAGATTAAAACCTCCCATTTTATTGAAGTAAACTGTATTTGATAGCGTTAAATGAATGACACTATGAGCCAGGTAGTGTTATAGTAAAGCAGTATTGTTTGCTGGTCAAGCAACTGTCGTAGTGGTTTATACGCACAGCCGCATTGAATATTATTTTGATTCATCCGCTAACGGTCAGGTGAGACTATTGTAATGCACAAAGAGAGCAGTATGCAAGCCAAATACTTAAGAGTATTGTGATAGTGTGTGGTTCGCAAACACTTAATAGATTAAAACCTCCCATTTTATTGAAGTAAACTGTATTTGAACGATAGCATTAATTGAATGACACTATGAGCCAGATAGTGTTATAGTAAAGTAGTATTGTTTGCTGGTCAAGCAGCTGTTGTAGTAGTTCATACGCACAGCCGCACTGAATATTATTTTGATTCATATGAAGCTTTCCCTTTATTTCTAAATGATCACCTTAGTTTGTACAACAAATAAAACAGTATTGCACGTTGTAAGTGTACATAATCTGTTAAGCACAAGGCGTTTTGGTGACAAAATTCAAAGCATTTTAACAGTATTTTTATGATTTAAAACAAAATATTTTTATAGTACGATTAATAGATCATGATAGGAACATAGCTGAATAATGTAACATTAAATGTCTAAAGGTGCAGTGGACACACCGTCTTCTAACACTTTACGTTTGCAATAGAAATAGGAGAAGGCGTCCCGCCTCTGCACGTAAGAATACATTGTGTTATTGAATAACCTGATGCCCCTGTTTATACCACTACCACTCTTTCTGTTTAATAAGACGTCTAAATATTTTGTTTTATCTATAGTATTGCAAGTCCTATTTACACCCTTGCAGCTGAACTTGGATTTTGTCTCTTCTCCGTAACAGTAGTAAGTCTTACTGCAAAGACCAACGATACCGTCACCAATCCACTCGGCTTTGAACAATCCAGGCGTTCTTTTGTCAAAGGCCTCGTGCTCTGGCGTATCAGTGCGAGGAAACCAAAGATGTTTTTCTTTTTCATACTGCTCACGCATACCAGGTTTTACAACGTCTTCTAAGCTGTCCGCCGAAAAGGCAATATAAGCGGAATCCGTGTCCATTTCACAATACTGGAAATCGGACGGATCCACAAACTTCAGCATGAAATCGTAATAAAATTCTAGCATGCGCAGCTTGGCATACTGATACACCATGACCCCGATTTGAATGGGTAAGTCGTATTTGACGACTTTTTTGTTTAGTTCGATCTCGTATGTGCTTTCAGCAATTTGATCTAAACGCCGAAACCTGGGGTCGTTGATCTTTCTAGAGGCCTTAGCTTCACCGCAATATTGCACATCGCGGTGTTTGTCTTTATTGGTAACCGTTTTACCGTACCCAGAATTACCAATGAGCTTCATGGTATCGGCAACGATGGTCTTTGTTTTGTCTTTGTCCCCCTCTCTACGAGCATCACTCACGGCATTTCCAAAATGCTCGAAGCAGGCTTTAGGTGTGTACTCGACAACCTGATAGATTCGGGAGACACGAAGACCGTGGGTCAGATACCATTTAAGAAGGGGTGTGGCCAAAACGATTTTTTCTCCAAAGAAACTACCGATCAACGATTTTCTAGGGGTGCGCATGATATTATTTTCCTGGGCAAAATTTTCCATGTATGACCCAATGTCGTCTCGGGTAATCGTGGTGTTTTTGAAAATGGGAGGCATTTCGGCAAACATGGCTTTTAGTTCAGAGGGGACTTCTATATCACACTCAACGAACCCAAACAACTTATCATTTCGAATGGCGTCTAAAATANAGTTTCGTTAAACCAGTGTTCTTATGGAGGACAGACTCTCTATGACACAGGCCCCCAGTTTCGTTAAACCGGTGTGAGTTTAGCCAGTTGTCGTCTCCAGTGACCTAACAATCACCCTGTTCCTGATACCATAGGCTTAATATCATGCTAGATACAGGGGTGTTTGAACAACATAGCCAGGGTGTTAACCACGTGTTTCTTTACTACACCACAGACGACAACTTTCCCATCACATACAGGATGCCTTGTTTGGTGAAAGAGTCGTTTTTTCTCTCTCTCCTCACCGTTGGCATTTTGTCTTTAGTCCAAGATGACATCCGGGTCCTGCAGTCAGAGCTATACCGCATTAACTACTCTATCCATATAATGTACCGTAAAATAAAAACAACGTGTCCTGGCTTTAACTTGGGATGGATCCCAATAGGACGCAGAAGTGTCAGGGTTGCTTCGGCCACAAGGCTTAACATAGAGCTGGAGTTGGCAGAGAGCACACTGGAGCACCTGATAACACAGTACAACGATTGTAAACTGGCTGCTTCATTCACAAAGAGCACCAGGAAACCTACCACGAAACCCACTACTACCAGAGGGACCACAACAAGAACTACCACAACTACGCCAAGGACTACCACCACTACTAGACCTACGACCTCGTCTACTATATGTGGTTCTACAGTGAAGTCTACTACAACTACTACCACATCTACTGCTAGGTCAACAGCAACTACTACTACTACATCTACTGCTAGGTCAACAGCAACTACTACTACTACATTGAAACCTACGACAACTACAGCGAAGTCTACAACAACAACAACAACACCTAGAACAACAACTGCTACCACATCTACAACTACCTCGACTACTACGCCAACAACAACTGCTACCACATCTACAACTACCTCGACTACTACGCCAACAACAACTGCTACCACATCTACAACTACCTCGACTACTACGCCAACAACAACCACCGAAGAACCAACAACAACCCCGAAATCTACCGGTACAACTACTGCAACCATAATCAGTACTTCCCCGACTCCAAACTCCACCAGGTCCAAAATTACCAATATACCCATTACTGTGGATCCAGGTAAGCATTTGATTATATAGACACTTGCTTTAATCTTATCGTCTATCCTAGGTTAATATAGGACATTGTTTTCCAAAAATGATACATAATTAAAACGACTCAACATCACATTTTGAAATAGATTAAAAGACAAAAAGAATTTGTCGCCCTTAAACTTCGTTTGTAGATTCCACTTCTTAAAGGCCCCTGAATGCCTTTTATTAAGTCGCTGTTATTCCGTAAATCTGATTATTCATTTTATATTTAGGTTCATTTTTCTGAAGATTTCCGCGTCTGCACTGGGTTGGCCAGTAGCAGCAGCAATAGTAGTAGTAGTAGTAGTAGTCGTAGTGCATGTAGTAGTAGTAGTAGTAGTAGTAGTAGTAGTAGTACATGTAGTAGTAGTAGTAGTAGTAGTAGTAGAAGTAGTAGTAATAGTAGTAGTAGTAACTAGTAGTAGTTCTATAGGTAGTTATGGCAGTATCACAGGGGACACTTGGCCGGGCTATCTCCAGCAGTTAACACATCAGCTATGATATGTTTTCCAAAGATCAACTACTGACTGACTGACTGATCTCTACTTTTATTTCACTGGCTGATAGATCTTGGGTCTCCTAAGACTGCATGGACAATCCAGCTATTGGTTCGACTGACCAAACTAACTTTGATCTCTTATCTCTAATATCTGATGGCAATACAAAGTTCTTATCCTTACATACAAAGCACCCAAAATACATTACAGTGATTTCCTTCTTGAAGCTAATTAACAGAATTGAGACATATTTCAAGAGATCTTTAACATAAACTGACACTGATTTAAACCTAAACTAGGGGATGAAGCCATAAATGAAGTCATTCAATCCTTTTAAAACAGAAAACATAATTAAAGGAAAAGGAGGAGGAGAAGTAGTTGTAGAAGTTGTAGATGTAGTAGCAATAGTGGTTGTAGAGTATACATTTTTTGTCAATATTTTTGGCGATTATTTATTTTTATTCATTTACGCAACTATCCATTAAGCCCACACATTTATTTTCAGCAAAACATGCGTTCCAAGTCCTCCGCACAGCCAACGTGACATACGAGGGCTACGCTTTCCTGGCCGTGGAAGTCAGGATTCCCGAAAACGGACGAAGCAAGTCGGAGTCTTGGTGCCGTGACTATCAGAACCTCTGTGAGGGGTTTGGACGCCGCCCCACGGGATGCGCGGGTCAGTTTGCTCCAGGGGGCGCCCAATCTCAGTACTCTGCATCGTGAGTACATTTGGATAAGTTTCACAAAATACCTTTACCCAGAAAATTAGTCTATGTCCCAAACATTTAGATTTGGTCTGAAAGTTTCGGATTTACATGTAGGCGTTTCAGGGCGGACGATGAACACTTGCACAAAATATCAATTTGTTTGCTTTGGCAATCATTGAACGTCTTCATCATTTTGTATTATATAAAAGAGATACAAATATCGCTGCCCTGTGTAAAAAGGATGCTCATCGTTGCTTTTTGTTTAGATCTGTACCCAACAGTTAGCCTATGTCTTACAATTAAAGACGAAAAAAGAAAAACGTTTGCTTAACATACTATATCCCTGAAAAAATCCTAACAATGGCATACATAACGCTACAGAAAAAAAACAATGCATTTAATTTTTTTATAGATGTGAAATACTGTACAACTCAGACATGACAATCAACGGTCCACGCGGTGCGGAGGGCAACGGCGTTCTAGGGTGTGATCCAAGTGAAGGTGTCGCCACCGTTGCCAGGATGGCCTTCCCTAACGGCTATCCTCGAGGCCAGTTCAACACATTTGCCTTTCTTTATTGCAATACGGGGTACTGCAGTGACGTCATTGCGAAGGGCTTATCCGTGTACTCACTTTGGTATATGAGAGGGTTTTACGATGCTGTTAACCCAACGAACATAATGTATACAGTCTGTCGCTAGTATTACATAGTGCGGCAATATATCAATTATGATATAATATATGGCAAAGATTGCCAAGGAATTTAAAAAGAAAAGAGGAAGAAAAGTATCGAAAAGGACGCGTTTGTGCGAGATTACATTCAATGAGGCACAATGATGAACATATGAGGTGAAATTGCCCGTCTCGTATCATCCGACATGGGTGTCTACACCTGAAAAGCACTTCCATGTAAAGGGCATGTTGCCGTATTCAGCTAAACCAACATAACACTGCTGATGAGCCTATGAATGTCAAGTACTTTAAATAAATAAGGCCCTTTATATAAAGAAAGACTCCTATTTCTTCTATCCCTCTAGCTCAACTCCAATATCTCTTTGCCGCTCATTCAATTGTTTTGTGTAATTCCCATGGCAGACAACCCAGACTCCATGAGACCTAGCTTAGAACTCCTTTTAATGTGTGTGGTATATTAACTAAAAATTGCTTTTAAAACTTATTTTCTGTTCTCTGGTTATATTTTCACAATATGTTGCACTGACAACTTTCAATTTTCAATGGGTCACGATGAATGAGTACCTTGTAAATTGTCTGAAGGGACTGCTGATTTACTATTGGAGGCCATTTTTTACAATTTACTTATACTATATATGTCATATAGTAATCTTTAGGTGAAATTTACAGCTATTAAACGCGTATAAATTAGAGGGTTTATCATAAAAGGGTATTTTTAGCGGCCATATTTTCAGGAATGTTCCTATAGCTAATTTTGCCTACAGTTTTATTCCCACAAATTTGCCAGATTTCATACTTGTATGTTAAGGTTTCTTGGTAGGATTGGCGTTTGGGTTAGGTGTAAGGATTGGGGCTGGGTTGGGGTTAAGGTAAGGGTATTTTCATACTGGTAGGTTAAGGTTGCTTGGTAGGATTGGGGTGTGGGTTACGTTTCGCGTTAGGGTAAGGGTTAGGTAAAACTCGACGAAAGAAAACGTTGATTTAATATTGGAATCAATGTTGGGATATTGCTATCGAAAAGAAAATTGAATAATATTTTTTGTTGATTTAATAGTCAAAGAATGTTATCCTAGATGTCATTGAGCCAAAGAATACAGACAAATCGTTCTCCAGAAACTTCTATTTCTGATCGATGCAGATGCACTGTCACAATCGTAATGAGCACCAGCTGTAAGTGAATCGTGATATTTATATAATATGTCACAACCGCAATGAGCACCAGCTGTAAGTGAATCGTGATATTTATATAATATGTCACATTAAGTTGCGTGCGCTTTCTCCACTTTCGGGGGCAACACTAGTACACATCATAGGAGGCAGAGGAGATCGTAATATTTTTTATTTTGATGCGTTACTACTGTATTTACTAGGTATATTTGTCCAAAATATTTCATTTAATCGTGGATAATTCAATCTTGGTGAGAGTTATTTTATCTAAAACGCTATCACACGATTGCATGGCATCCACTATCAATTGCTGTATGTGAGATAACACATTCTCTAATTGCGCAGTCGTTGAGAGTTTACTGTAGCAAAGATCAAACAAACAGGCCTGGTATAATGTCAGGAGTAATGATGGTACTGAGAATGATACATTCAGAATACACAATCATTAGAAAACTCTTGACAAAGCGTGGCTTTTCTGATAGCAGGACGATCACCATCTTTACTTTCGGTCATTCTCTTTGCATTTTCCAAGGAGCCAAATACTTCTATCACCGTTCGATCCCAGCTACACCTTGCCCTTCACTTTCGTCTTTTACCAGGGCTGTTACTGTCCAAGCTGCCCTGCCTCATGACATGTCCATAGTATGACAGTATCTGCTTATTAACATACTGAACCAACCATTCGTGAGGGACATTCATCTCTTTTCTGGTGTCATCGTTTCTGTGTCGTTGGGTCCATGGGATTCTAAAGAGGGTCATTTTAATGCAGCTAGACAAGCCTGGAGAAATTGTCGGCGGTGCTGATCTATCTACAGAGGTTTTACCTCAGAGGTCGTCTTGCACAGCCTAGTCGGAGTTTTGTTTCATTATCTGAAGTTTTCATAATGAAATATATCAGTACGGTGCATGCATTTTTTTTCTTTTCAGTTTGGTTAAATTACTAGCAGTTGGTCGATTTTGATAGTTTATCTATTCGCTTTCCATCTTTTCAATTTTATTCTAATAATGGGTTTATTAATTTTATCATTACACTTTTGTATTATGGTAGATTGGTGTACAATGTAGTATATTAAGGTCGTTTTACATGGTTTGGGCTTCATAATAAATATCAAAAATGGCAGCTGACCGTGAGCAGGTATGATGCCCGCACAGTTTGTACATGTACAGGTAGATAGTATGTACTGTTGGTGTTATTCTCATAAATGACTATAATTATTATTATTAGTGTTATTTATTATTTGTATATATGCCAGATTGAATTGAATTTTTATCGCCATCTCTGTGGCGCTGATGATTAAGCACGTACAAGCGCGAGCACACACACACACACACACACACATACTCTAAATTGCAGCAGAGAAGATATTTTTGTTCTCCTCCAGATGGCGCTATAGATCCCGGCAAAAACTGCTCAGATTGCAGCATGCAGTAGACCATATAAAGAAGAACCAGTGACCTACATAATGCCATTTTACTTTGGGGTGTGTAAGGGTCTGAAACTTAATTTATTTAATTCAATGTAGTGTATTTTGAAATATGTGGGAAACAAACGCTTCCTGAGCATGCTATTTAAGTACATTGTTAATCAAATTTTGTCTGTCAAATTATGGTTATTGATAAATAGAAAAGGCGGTTTTTCCTGCCTCCTACCTCGATGGATCATTTGAAACCTGAACCCTTGGAAGAGATGTCACTTCTTCCTCAGTTCTGAGTGACCAGGGTGTGGATGCCAGGCGACCAGGATACTAAGTATATGGATATTTCAGTTTTAACCGATTCATCGAAACGTTCAAAGACAATGTTTTTTTTAGGTATTTGTCGATGATTTATTTGTTGATGTATTTAAAAATGGGTTTGACGCTTGCATGTCAAACACTGGGTTTTTCCATCCAACAATATTTTCCCCACGTGACATTTTGTGTCCTCCATGTGTCGTGTATTTCATCACGTACCTCATCAGGCCTTCCCAACTACCAGACTCGGCACCTAAGGATCCTGAATTAACCGGTATATCGGACCACGCTACCCGTTTTCAAGGTGTGTGTCAGATTGCATTTCGGAGTATCATACTCCAGAACAAATTTTGTAGCACGACTGCGGGCTCATCCACGCTCGGCTGAACAACCTTAAACTGTACTCTTACTTTAGAGTACTCTATTTTATTGTCTCTATGGGGATATATGGGGACTTTATGACATTCGGTTTGAATGTTTTAACCACTTTTGATAGGGCTTTTTTGCATTGTATTAGATTAATGTGGCAGTCTAAGGTTCATCTAGGTGGCTTTCAAACTTATGCACCCGGTTTTAAAATCATATAGCGATTTTACAACAATCGTTTACTATCCCATCAAGTTGACAGCCGAGCATGCCAGGGCTCATCCTGTCGGTGTTCTGACTGATACTCCGAAATGCGATCTGACACACACCTTGAAAACGGGTAGTGTGGTCCGATATACCGGTTAATTCAGGATCCTTAGGTGCCGAGTCTGGTAGTTGGGAAGGCCTGTTCATGACAGTGAAACTTTCAGTTGTGCCTCATGTTAACTACACAGAATTTAAAACTACATCTGTAGAATTATAATTAGTAATGGCAGTACTTTTTTACATGCGCATTTGTTAAAATCATGTTCAATATCCACAATCAACTAGCACCTTCCTATGTCTCTACCTATTTCATCCCGTTTAGAAATAAATCCATGCTACCTCTACGGACAACATCTAAAAGAGACTACATAATTCCCTTTAAATTCACATACAAAGGTCCTGAACACTTTTTGATGACAAGCTGGGATGAACTAAACACCACTCAAAAAATCTTCCTTCTGCATCCTCCCTTAAGTATAACCTTAGAAATGAAACCTTCCCAGCAACAATGTCCACCACCCATCTGAAGCTTCCGAGACAAAATGAAAAAATCCTAAATAAGGCCCGAGTCGATTTGTTATTTAGAGCCCAACTATATGACCACAACTGGACAGCTATGGCTTCTCCCAACTGTTTATGTGGGAAACCCGAAACCATCCGACATTTTTTCTTTCAATGCCCACTGAAACAGAGGAAATATCGTGATCTCTACGAATCTGTTGAAGATATACTTGGTGTAACTTATGCATATTTCAGAACCCAACTAGATAAGATATCCCTCTTCCTACATGGCCATAAAACACTAACATCTGGACAAAACGACAAGATTTTCGAAATAGTGTCAGATTTCTTAATCAAAAATGTCTGAATCTTCTTCCATTTCTGTTCTGGCGCCTACCANGCCTAGGCGAATTGCCACCTTTTTTTATACTGTATCAATATTTAACCCTCTTGAGAATAAAGATGTTTAAAAAAAAAGTTAAGATGGGGAAAATTTTGTGGAATGGCTCTTTTAACACTGGCTGTTGAAATTAAGTGAGTGGGTTTTAATACATTGTGTCATGATTATAGTTTAACAAATTTGTCATAATTAAAAATTAAAGAACAGGATAAAGGTTAAGTGGTACACTTACATCTCTAATTTTGGCATGTTTTCACAAATAATACCATAAAATGTAATGTTTCGATCCATTGAAGTATGTGACCTAGTTAATAGTTACACCGCTTTCTGTGTGACTGATTATGAAAGCAGCCATTTTCAAGGCACAGGGGGCGAATTGCTAGCGCCAATCTGCAAGTAATGCTTGAAAGTAATTTTAATATTTTTCATTTATGGCTAAAGTCATTATCACTTCGTCTAATCAAAACGCTCTGTTCAAAGCAAGTTACCATGGTTTTTTACCAACATATTTTAAAGCCTTATGTAAAAAAATCAAAACGCAGCATATTTATCACTGCGTAGTCATTAGTAACAA